AAGATGGATGGATGGATGGATGGACAATTTTAAATTCAATCCTGAAACAAACAGGAAGCCAGTGGAGGGTGGCCAAAGCCGGTGTAATGTGGTCGCGTTTTTTTGTCCTGGTCAAAAGTCGAGCTGCTGCGTTCTGGACTAAGTGCAAGCGCCGAAGGGATGACTGATCCAACCCAACATACAGTGAGTTGCAGTAGTCTAAGCGGGACGTAATGAATACATGTATGACTCTCTCAAAGTCTTTGCGTAGCAGGTAGGGCTTGACTTTAGCCAGAAGTCTCAGTTGGAAGAAGCTAGTTTTGACAACAGAACTAATCTGTTTGTCAAGTTTAAAAGCACGATCAAAAATCACTCCCAGATTTCTGGTAAAAGGACGAATTTGGGAGCCTAAAATACTGAGAGTATCTACACAGACACTGAAATGTTCAGCACGTCCAAACACAACAACCTCGGTCTTATTGTCATTAAGACAGAGAAAATGATCCATCCATACTTTGAGATCACTCAAGCAGTTTATCAGCGGCTTGAAAGTGTCCTTCTTATTGTTTTTTACAGGCAAGTAAATTTGTACATCATCAGCAAAACAATGGAAAGAGATGTTGTGTTTTTTAAAAATGGACCCTAAGAGCAGCATATACAGAGAAAATAGCATTGGTCCCAAAATGGAACCTTGGGGGACCCCACAGGACAGAGGGGCAACAGATGAAGAGCAGTTACGAATGTGGACAGAAAAACTATATGTCAAGTAGGATTCAAACCATTTTAAGGCTATACCTGTAATGCCAACACTTTGCTTGAGTCGGGATAAAAGGATAGAGTGGTTGACAGTGTCAAAGGCAGCAGTCAAATCTAAGAGCACTAAAACAGCAGAATTTCCTGAATCTACAGCTAAGAGGAGGTTGTTGTAGACTCTTAGAAGGGCAGTTTCAGTGCTGTGGCGGGGCTTAAAGCCAGACTGAAACTTTTCATGAATACTAAAATCATCTAAAAATGATTGAAGTTGATTAAAAACCACCTTCTCCAAGACCTTAGATAAAAAAGGTAATTTAGAAATAGGTCTAAAGTTAGACAAAACTAACGGATCCAGATTTTTCTTTTTTAAGAGTGGTTGCACAACAGCATGTTTAAAGGGTTAATTGCACGGACACAGCACGCAGGGGAAACAGACAAAGTGTCCGAGCAGGGGACAACCATAGTAAATACAACGGGTAGGTGATCTGAAATGCATGTGTCGCATATTTCACTAATGGCAACATCTAAGCCATATGACAGTACAAGATCCAACGTATGTCCTTTTTCGTGAGTCGGGCCAGTAACAGACTGCGTGAGACTGAAAGAGTCAATAAGATTGAGAAAATCCTTAGACATCGGCCTGGATTCGCAGCAAACATGTATATTGAAATCACCAACGATCAAAAAGCGATCATATTTCAAGGCAATTCCGGCGACAAAGTCTGCAAAGTCCTGAATGAAATCCTTATTAAACTTTGGAGGTCGATAAACCACAGAACATAAAACTGTCACTGGAAGATGGAACACACCTTGAAATCTCTTCTTTAAACGAGTTTGGTTGCACCAACAATTATTCCCAAAACACGGATTTGTTCTAAAATTACATCCCAAAGGTGATATTTATTTTATTTTATTATTTAGGAGCTTTGTGTCTCCAAGTGATAGTCCAGACTAGGAGGACGTCTTCATCAAATCTGTGCTTCCTTTTTGAAGGAAAGAAAGTCAGCGCTTCATCAGGAAAGAAACAGGAAAGCGTGCGTGTAGGTATTAGACGGGCGTGAAGGTGATCAAAAAGGTTTGTTTAACTGGAGAGACATGTAGAATAGCGTAAAAATGAAAATCCAAACAAACGTCACACTTCATTGGCGTCCAAAGGATCGCTTAACGTTGTATGACGGCCAGTATGAGCCGGTCTGATGCATCGTCAGTCTGGACGTCAGTGGCTCTCATCAGTTTACTTGCTGCTGACATATTTACGATACAGGTACTTTATCGCTGCGATATCTATTTTATTTTTTCTACCTGACATCTCTTTCAGCTTCTGGGCCTTCTTGGTGTCCCCTTTCTTCTCCATCTCCTCGATCAGGAAGTCCAGGTGGACGTAAGTGGAGACTGAAACAACACTCAGGGCGATCTGGTCCAGTCTGACCACGTGGTCGTAGGCCTCATACAGGGTTTTTGTTTTGAGTGCCTCACGAGTTTCCATGTCTTTTTCAAGACTTTCCAGAATGTCCTGGCTCTTCTCATTCTGTGCTTTATTCTCTTCATATTTCTTTTTCACATCTTTCAGAGTTTTTTTAACCTTTCTGGTCTTGGTCACATACATGTAGCCTTCTTTAACGTGGTCTGCTACAGGGCACTTGTTGGTACATGAGGTGCAGCGGCCTTCTTTCATGACCTCACAGTGTGAAGGATAGTGGGACATGGTGCATCCAGGATAGTGACAGTTCTCCTCACAGACTTTGCAGGTGACAGCTCCTTCATAGAAGAACAAACCCCACATTCCACTTTTTATAGGCTCTTTATCTTTGTATGACTCATCAACTTCTACAGTGAACCCTTCAAAAGACTTCATCCCTTCTTCATTTTGCTTCAGAGCTTCTTGAGTCTGCTGGATTTCCTTCTGTTTGAGTTCCATACACTGGATTCTCTCCTGCAGGTTCTGGATGCAGGCTGTCAGTCTGATCCGTTCATTCAGAACATCAACGGTTGTCTCCAGCTTTTGAGGTGCATAATTCTGCAGAAGGGTTATGAACCGCTCCATTTCATGCATAGCTTTGTTATATGCATCTTTAAGACCCGTGTCGCCCTCCGTCCTGTCTTCGTTTTGGCAGCTATCAAACAGGAAGTGGACAGGCTGCTTCCTGTCATTTCTGGCACACTTAATGTTTGCAGCTTTGAGGGCATCCAGAGCATTTTTAGGAAACCTTCCAGTTGAGTGTGTGAGGAGGGTAATGATGTTTTGCTCTAGATCTTTTCCAAATAGAGACAACACCGAATTAAGTATGTATGAAAGTCGGTCACTCAGTCGATTCTCGGTTGCTTTCAGCACCAGACCCACCGCATTGATCTTGTGAACTCCACCCACTGAGCGGAACAAGTCAAATAACCTTTGACTGACTATTTCATCGTGTTCAATTCCTTCTGTGTCTCCGAATCCAGGAGTGTCGATGATGGTCAGAGAGTAGGGCAGAGTTTTATCCTCAAGTCCAAAGATCTCGTATACGACCACATCTGACGTCTGACTCTGTGATTGGTCTTTCTTCTCGTCCTCTACGATCTGAAACCAGACATCATCCTCCCACTTCACTCCCATGGCGAAGTTCACCAGAGCGTTGACCAGAGTAGACTTTCCTGTTCCCGTTTCACCAACAAGCAAGATGGTTTTGTTTACCTTGTTGGGATTCTTTACACCAAGACTCATTCTTTTCAGAGTTCCAATGTTCTCTTTCGTTAGTCTCAACTGGTAGATTGTAGGAGATCCTTTTTTGATCTCATAACTTTTTGAGATGATATCTTTATATTTCGATGCAGCGTTAGTCATCCTGTCAAAAAAGAAGTAATACATTTACACATTTACACACCATCCATTTACTTCACTGTGTTGGTGGTGATTAGTTCAATAGCTAATTACAGTATACTGTAATTCCGGAATGCTGCAGCACTACTAACAAAAACTAAGAAAAGAGATCACATTACTCCTGTAATAGATTTCTGTTTGTTCCCAGTAAAATGGAGAATATTTATAGTTAGTGGAGGAACCAACACGGTTAGGGGAACCAATCTCAGGTTGGCAGTATGTATTATTGTATTTCCGCGGACCAGACCTTACTATGCTGGTATAGGCAGCTTAAGCAGATGTTATAGGCCCAGTCTGCTGGTAGACTTGCTTGGATACATTTGCTCCACATGTCTCCTTCAATATCTTCCTCGGGGTCCCTGGAGGGGCATCTGGGTCCCGTCCCTTGACAGAAGGGTCCTGGTTGCCTGGCCTTGCGCTTTGTGCCGCTCTGCTGATCTGCAGCTCAGGTTCACTAACTCCAGGCCACGGACCCTCCTCTCCCTCCCTAGACCTGCTAACCACAAACCATCCACTAGATGCCCTCAGACCTTCTTACTAGTCCCACTCACCTGTGTGCTACGTTGTTCATTTATCTTAATATGTCTTTATTGGACAAGGTTATTCACTTCATATGGTTATGCCCCCCCTCCCCCCCACCAGGGTTATACTACATAGTGTAAAATCTGTGTGTCAGGTTTCCCTCCACATCATCCATCACTCAGAACGAACACCTTGTCAGATATTACACTCTCATTTAGTGTAATGTCATAGAAATGTTTGTGATACTTACATTGCCATGGTAACTGCTTCACAGGAATTTGATGACTGAGCACTGTCAGATTTTCCTGGGTGAAAGAAAAACAAGTAACTTAGCTTGACTTGTCAGGGATGCGGGGTGGAAGGCAGGACTCAGACGCAGACTTGCGGGAAACAAAAGACTTTAATAGCCAAAAGGGTCAAAAACGCAGGAACCGGGAGGAAAACCAGCAAGCAACATGTGAGACGAAAGACAATGACGCGACAAGTGACACAGGAGACACATGGCTTAAATACACAAGGGAGGTGCAGGTGATTGGACACAGGTGGAAACTATTTAGACGAACACAGGGGATGACGAGACAAGGCAGGAAGTGAAGTTACCCGGGGACACGAGTGGCAGAAAACTACAAAATAAGACAGGAAGTGAACCACACCGTGACATGACTACTGTCAACTTACTGCAGTGATGAGAAGCTGTATTTTTGCCTTTAGACAAAATAACAATTTCTAAGTATTTTCTTGAAAGGGAAACAATTCCAGCAGTTCATCTCTGCATTAATGTTTTCACATAAAATAGATGTTATATTATAATGTGGTGGGCAGACCTGTTGCGTCAGGGTAACACGTGTGCAGAGCGCATTCAAAACATGCATTTCTGTGACCATGAGAAGCTGCTCGCACACGTCTAGACGGTGTTTCCTGTTTACCAGCAGAGCAGCCAGATTTATTTTTCCATAACAATACTTCTACTTCTATAGAGAGAGACAGATATATATACATAGATTGTTTTAGGTAGCGCCATCCAAACAGTTTCAGTAAACATTTCAGTATTATTCAATGCAAAAAAAGGTATCCAACACGCATTATTACTTTGCAGTTAAATACTTATATACTTATATTATTTAACAGTTTACCATAATAATGTTGAAATTAAACGACCAAATGTAAAACTTAAATAAAGACGGTGTGGTTTTATTTCCTGTCTTATTTTGTAGTTTCTGCCACTCGTGTCCCTGGGTAACTTCACTTCCTGCCTGGTCCTGTCATCCCCTGTGATCGTCTGATTGTTTCCAACTGTGTCCAATCACCTGCACCTCCCTTGTGTATTTAAGCCATGCGTGTCTCTTGTGTCACTTGTCGCGTCATTGTCGAACGTCCTGGATGTGTCTAGTTCATGCCTGCCTTTTTGCCCCTGGTTCGTGTGTGTTTTTGCCCCTTGGCCCTTTGCTTTTGGTATTTTGGACTATTAAGTCTTTTGTTCCCTGCATCCCTGACAGAATGACACGACCAAGAAAGGACTCGGCGGAGTTTTTTCCTCGGGAGGAGTTCCGAGAACCCGTCTGGCTAAGGGCGCCGAGCAGTCTCCAGCTGGCTGCCCGTCATGGGGGAGCCAGCGCCCCGATCCAGGTCCACGACCCCCGAGCCAGCGCCCTGATCCAGGTCCACGACCGCCGAGCCAGCGCCCCGATCCAGGTCCACGACCCCCGAGCCAGCGTCCCGATCCATGCCCACGACCCCCGAGCCAGCGTCCCGTTCCATGCCCACGACCCCGGTACCGGCCCCACGTTCCATGCGCCCGACTCGATCGGTACCGGCCCCACGTTCCAAGCCCTCCCTCCCATCCCGTGGTCCTCTCCCACCCTTCCGTTGGTGGCTTGGGGGGCCGTCTGGGATCCGGCACTCGACGGGGGGGCAATGGCGGGGGCTGAGCCAGCGACTCCGGAGGTTTCCCGTGGTCCCCGTGCCAGCCATCCCAGAGACGTTCAGTGCTCTGCAGTCGGCGCTCCGGAGCCGGGAAACTGACTGTCCGCCGGGCCGCCCACCATCGTTTGGTTTCCCTCCCTTCCGCCCCTTGTCTGTTCTTGGTCTGGTTAGGGCCATCTGGAATTTGGCCCTTGAGGGGGGAGTTCTGTCACGGTTTGGGTTCATGTCTGGTTTTATTTTGTAGTTTCTTGGCTCTTTTCTCCCTGGGTCATGTCACTTCCTGCCTTGTCCTGTCCTCCCCTGTGATTGTCTGTCATGTCATGATGATGATGTTTCCAGCTGTTCCAATCACCTGCACCTCCCTAGTGCAACGATTCCGAGTGTGGGCCGCGCCCCCCTGGTGGGCCACGCCACCCTGGTGGGCCGCGAGAGGTCATTTACAATAAATAAATAAAAAGTTTGAAATTTATGAAAAGTCTGAAATTAATATAAAAATATGTATCATGCGGCACATTAGTTATGTGAAACATTAATTGATGAAGCACAAACAATTTAAACGGACAGATTGGTTAATGGGTTGATCCACACTGGTTGCACACGGCGCTCAAGGCCAAACACGCCAAAGCTCGTCTACGACGGCGAGATGCTGAGTGAGATACGGAGCTGCTTTCAGGGCGCGTCGGAGAAACAAAGCTGTCGTTCTCGCCGAGACGGCGCCCTTTTCTCTACAGCAGCTGAACCATCTTAACGGGGAAAATAAGTTATTCTAAAAGCAGCCGGAGATTTAAGGCGTGGATGGCGAGGGGGGCGGCGGGGGCGGACGCATCGATCGGACCCTGAAAGAACTCTGCGTCTGAGTCCTACCTTTACCTCCACGTAGCCCCCTGACAACGACGTAAATGAGAACACAGGCATTGTGTCTTCGATGGAAGCGACAACGTGTGAGTCAGGAAGCGGAGACCCGGCCACCGAAACGAGGAAGTGCAAAAGACAATTCAGCATATTAATGAATATGTATATAATGTTCAGAATATGATATAACTACCATATCGTAACTATTATAAATATCCAGTAAAAGTATATATACTGATGTATGAATATATTATATTAAAGGAGAAATCTATAACAATATGAATATACTTATGTAACATCTATGTAAAGACCAACTCAAAAGCCCCACAAAACTATTTTGGATAAAATGTCCCTGTTTTGGTCCACGTCCTGGTTGCGTGTCCTCACGGCAGTCCTGTGCGCGTCGCAGCTGGGTAGCGATGTTATATTGCCATGTTCCTATGATATGAAAGGGTCAGGTCTTCGTGGAAGGACACTGCTGGTCTTGTTATGTTCGTGGTGTTACACAACCCTCCAACTTTTACATTATTGAAGATAAAGTACTGCCTCAAGTACCTTATTGCGTTTATAATATAGTTACCAGCGACATTATAAATAGTAAGTAAATAACTTTCATTCAGCACAAAATAGTTGTAGCCACCAGACGTTGTGTGTCTCATTTCAGTGTCTAGAGAAAAAATAGTCCCCATAGTCTGCTGCTATTGATACTAAACCTACTATTACTACTGCTAGTACTACAAATACCACAATTAATACCACTACTAATATTACTACAAACAATTTAAAACCTCTTTTTAGTCGTCTCAGCTTTTGTTATTTCTGTATTTTTTTAAATTCATTTAAGCTCCTGCAACTTCTGTATTTTTTTGGAAAATCTATTGAAATTCAGCTTCTCCGATTTCTGTATTTTCAGCAGTTTTTTAAAATGATTTGAGCTTTTATTATGCCTGTATTAACAGCAATGTTCTAATAATAATTTCTGTGTTTTTTTCAATTTTTCAAATTCATTTCTTTTTTCGTTTTTCAGCAAAACTATTGAAATTCCTTTCAGCTTCTCCCATTTCTGTATTTTCAGCAATTGCAAATTAATTTCAGATTTTCTAATATCTGTAATTTCAGAAAATATATTCAAATTCCCTTCAACTTTCTGTAATTTCAGCAATTTTCTGAAGTTCATTTCAGCTTTCAGCTTTTTGAATTCCAATGCACTTTCAGCAGGAAATGCATTTTCTAGTTATATCATTTATGTTTCAGAGAGTTTTCTTACCCAAGCTGTTGATCTCTGAAGAAGAGGATGATGCGGAAGAAAAGAGAGAGTGTCTATAAACCAGAGGGGCGGGACCCCGGGAGGTCACATGATTTAACTAAAACCGGTTTAGAGACTGATGTTATAATAATTATTCATTTCTAGTTATTTGTACTTAAAAGCTTGTATCTCAGTTGTATCTAAAGGAGATAAAAAAAAGATGTATTTCATTTCAAATCATGAGACCATAAAGAGAAACATCTTCACTTTCTCTCTGTCCATTTCTTGAAGTCAGCCCGTTTCTCTGAAGTCACGTGACAGGTTAACCTAACTAGAGAGAGGGGGGGGGGGGAGGGAGTTACACGCTCTCCAGATTTACCACAGTTTTCCCCTTTTTCGTTTTAAATCCAAAACGAAAACAGAAGTGGGGCATTCGTTTTTCTGGTTTTTTGTTTTCCGTGGTTTACGGGAAAAGGGACTATCAAAACGTACTCAAACCAAAAAGTGGTGAGGTTGTCTCGTTTTTGGGTCTAAACGAAAAACGAGACAACGACTTCCGTTTTACCGTTTTGGATTTAAAACGAGAAACGAGTGTTGTCGTTTTCTGTTTTTTACGGTAAAAGGGACCATCAAAACGTACACGGACCGAAAACGGGCCGGCTCGCTGGTGAGACTCCGCTGCCGGGCATCTTTCCCTCCAACGTGCGCTCACTGTGCAACAAACTGGAGGAAATCCAGCTGCTGGTGAGGAGAGACGGAGACTTCTCTACATCCTCCGTCTTGTGCTTCACGGAGACGTGGCTCTGCGGATCGATACCGGACTCCGCGCTCCAGCTGGCGGGCTTCAGCTGCTCCGAGCGGACCGCGACACGGAGCTCTCCGGCAAGACGAAGGGTGGAGGAATCTGCTTCTACTTCAACAACAGCTGGTGCAACGACGTAACGGTGATCCTACAACACTGTTCTCCTGATCTGGAAACTTTTTTCATCAACTGCAAACCCTTTTATTCCCCCCGTGAGTTCGCTTCATTCATCCTGGTCGGTGTTTACAACGTGCACGAGGCTCAGCGGACACTCGCCGACCAGATACGGCGTGTGGAGCGGACCAACCCGGACTCCTTAGTTATTGTCCTCGGGGACTTTAACAAAGGAAATCTCACCCATGAACTCCCTAAATACAGACAGTTTATTAGAGAGGAGAACACGCTGGATCACTGTTACACCACAGTCAGCAGCGCTTATCACGCCGTCCCTCGTGCTGCACTGGGACACTCTGACCATGTCATGGTCCATCTGATTCCTGCATACAGGCAGAAACTAAAGCTCTGCAAACCTGTGGGGAGGGAATTCAAGATGTGGACCAGTGACCCACTCCATGAATGACCTCCGCCTGGCAGACGAGCTCAATGAGTTCTACTGCAGATTCGAAAGACAATGTCCTGATCCCCCACAGCTCCACCAACCTGCAGTTCGCCTACAGAGCCAACAGGTCTGTGGACGATGCTGTCAACATGGTCTCCACTACATCCTCCAGCATCTGGACTCCCCAGGAACCTACGCCAGGATCCTGTTTGTGGACTTCAGCTCTGCCTTCAACACCATCATCCCGTCTCTGCTGCAGGACAAACTCTCCCAGCTGCACCGCCCGACTCCACCTGCAAGTGGATCAAAGACTTCCTGTCTGACAGGAAACAGCACGTGAAGCTGGGGAAACATGTCTCAGCCTCTCGGACCATCAGCACCGGTTCCCCTCAAGGCTGCGTTCTTTCCCCTCTGTTCTTCTCCCTGTACACCAACAGCTGCACCTCCAGCCACCAGTCCGTCAAGCTCCTGAAGTTTGCAGATGACACCACCCTCATTGGACTGATCTCTGGTGGGGACGAGTCCACCTACAGGTGGAGTCTGACCATCTGGTGTCGTGGTGCAGCCAGAACAACCTGGAGCTCAACGCTCCAGACAGTGGAGATGGTTGTGGATTTCAGGAGGAACAAAGCCCCACCCTCCCCCATCACCCTGTGCGACTCCCCCGTCACTATTGTGGACTCCTTCCGTTTCCTGGGCTCCATCATCACCCAGGACCTCAAGTGGGAGCTCAACATCAGCTCCATCACCAAGAAGGCTCAGCAGAGGTTGTTCTTCCTGAGGCAGCTGAAGAAACTCAACCTGCCAAAGACGATGATGGTCCACTTCTACACGGCCATCATGGAGTCCATCCTCTGCTCCTCCATCAGCGTCTGGTACGCTGCAGCCACAGCCAAGGACAAGGGCAGGCTGCAGCGTGTCCTCCGCTCTGCAGAGAGGCTGATCGGCTGCAATCTGCCGTCCCTGCAGGACTTGTTCGCTTCCAGGTCTCTGAAGCAGCTAAAAAGATGGTAGCCGACCCCTCTCACCCCGGACAAAACCTGTTTGTGCCCCTTCCATCTGGCTACCACCGTTGGGTTCTGTGGACACACGGACACACGGGTCTACTTGGTAATATGCTTTATTTTTCCTTTTGCAGTGAGCAAGTTTCTTTGCATTTGTTGCTCTGCTCCGCTCCTCGGCTTTGCCCCTGAGCGTCTTCTCCCGTCTCTCCCCGCTCCAAGTCCTGCTCACTGCTTTTACAGGGGAGACAATGACTCAGAATCTTGTTCAGCTCTGTTTGTTAATTTCCTGCCGGCACCGTCCCCTGAACCACTCCCCCGCTCTTCCCTCTGCAGCTGAGCTAACCACGCCCGCCACCACATACCCCCACCGCCCGACTTAGGCTGGGGAACCATCCGGCCGAACTGACTTCCCCCCTCCCTCTTGTGGGCGGGAGAGAAAGTCCGCCGCGACCATCTGCCCCCGGTCTATGGACCACCTTGAAGTTAAAAGGCTTTAGAGCCTGATACCACCAAGTGATTCGGGCATTGGTATCCTTCATGCGGTGGAGGCACTGCAGGTCCGAACAGAGGGTTAATTGGCGTCCCAGGAGGTAGTACCCCAGGGAGTCGACCACCCACCGGATGGCCAGGCACTCCTTCTCCACCGTACTGTATCTGGCTGATGTAGAGGACCGGGCGGTCCACCCTCTGCACCTGCCAGGACAAGATAAAAGGGAGAGAGAAGTTGAACCTCCCGTAGTAGCCTACCAGCCCCAAAAAATGCTTCACCTCTTTTTTTGTCTTGGGCCGCAGGCAGGCTGCGATGGCTGCAGTTTTGTCCACCGCACCCTCCCGCCTCCCAAGTGGTACCCCAGATACCGTACGCCCCTCCGTCCGACTGCACACTTCCCCGGGTCCATGAGGCGTTGGAAAGTGGCCGGGGCACCAAACAACCCAAAGGGAAGCGTGGTGAATTGGTATAATCCAAACGGAGTGGAGAAAGCCGTCTTTTCCTTGGACTCTGGTGACAAGGGAATCTGCCAGTAGCCCTTGGTCAAATCCAGTGTTGTAAAAAAGCGTGCGGTGCCCAATCGGTGCAGGAGTTCGTCGACCCGGGGCATCGGGTACGCATCAAACCGTGACACAGCATTCACCCTGCGATAGTCCCCACAGAACCTCATAGAGCCATCCTTCTTGGACTCCTGACCCCCATCCTAAGCATTCAGCATAGCAGCCAATTCTCGCTGAACAATTTTCCTCGTGTGTTCAGGTAACCTGTAGGGCCGCGACCGCACCGTCACGCCCGGGGACATCTGAATGTGATGCACTGAGACCTGTGCAACCTGGCAGGAGAGAGAACACATCGTTAAACTGATCCTGCAACTGGGCTATGTCTGTTTGCTGGGTTGCAGAGAGATGGGCGTTGAACGGGAGCCGGGTCGGATTGGTGGGCTTTGGCCCCAGCTCCTCTCTCTGAGCTACTGCAGACACCAGGGAAACAGACTCCGCTTCCCTCCATAATTTGAGAAGGTTGAGGTGGAAGTTCTGTGTAGTTCCACCCCTCTCAGATCGCACCGAAGTCCCCTACCCGTCGTGTGACCACAAAGGTTCCTTGACACTTGGCGAGTAGTTTTGAGCAAGACAAAGGAAGCAATACAAGTACTTCTTCTCCTGGTGTAAATTGTCTCAGCATGGCCTGAAGTACTACAAGCCTCATGTACCAGGAGCCTGAAGTACTACAAGCCTCAAGTACAACGAGCCGGAAGTACTACAAGCCTCAAGTACTACGAGCCGGGAAGTACTACAAGCCTCAAGTACTAAAAGCCTCAAGTACCAGGAGCCTCAAGTACTACGAGCCTCAAGTACCAGGAGCCTGAAGTACTACGAAGCAGAAGCTACAAACCCCCAGTGGAGACCTGAGCGGACCACGTTGATGCGGCGTGCAGGAACCCTTTGGGAGCCTCGTCCCATCATCTCCCTCACTGATTGCTCCTCGTGGTCCAAACCATCGCCAGGAAAACTCTTCTCATGAAGTGAACATCAAGGAATGACGCATATCGCAGCGGAGAAACTTGATGTTGGATCACATGTCAATAGGAAATCTACCCCCATCACTTACAACACAGCAGAAGACTCCATCAGCCATCACACACACACACACACACACACACACACACACACACACGTAAAATCCTTTAACGCAACATTTGCAACAATGTTACATTGTTAAACAGTGTAGCTGCTCAACCGGCATCACTGGAGGAGTTTTTCTTTCTCCAGATGAAATCCACAGCTTCAGACTGAACGTCCTCACCTGTTCACCTGCTGTTCCTCCGAGGCCACTTATAATGTTCTGATGACTTTAAACTAAAGCCTGCAATACACTAGTTAATTCATTAGTGAATTTTAGGCATAACACGTTTAATCAATGTCATTTTTTCATCTTTGCCCATCACTAATTAATTAATTGAACATTGACAAGTGGTAGAAAATTATAGGACAACAACTTTATAAAACAAACACAAAAAGGAAATTTTAACTTGATGGAATATAATTAACACCAACATTTGAGTCTTGGAAAGGAAAAAAAATAAAACCCAAAAGTTCATTTTCTTTATTTAGTTGTATGTGAAGGTCATTAGACGTCAAGTAGCCTCAGCTGTCAGTTTATCATCAATTAGATCTAAAAACTGGTCGTTGTCATCATCTTTACTGTGTACATCTACAAGCAGGGGGCGGGGCTTGATAGGGCCTGGGGGCGGGGCTTCAGCCTCACAGTTTGGCCTTGCTCATGCGCCCCATGAGTTTCTCCAGTTTGAGGGCGAGCGTCATGTCGCCTTTGATCTTCAGCTTCCCCGACATGAAGGCCATCGTGGGCTTCAGCTTTCCTGGAGAAAAAACAAAAACACACGCCGTCACCGTGGAAACGGCACAGCATGAGCCCAGCGACGTCATCGCTGTGGTCACAGCCCCATGGGTCCCACAGTTCCTCCCTGATATCTTCCACGTGTTACCCTGGTGACGGCTCACCTGCAAACATCTTGCTGAAGTCACTAGAGTCCATCGCCATGACGACGTCGGCCTTGACAGGCGACTGGCCCTGACCTGCACTGCCAGCGCCGCTCTTCAGGTCCAGGAACCAAAGGCCCTTATTTTCTCCTTATATGGACATGTTCATATCAGTGACACGCCCATCACATCTCCATATATGGACATGTTCATATCAGTGACACGCCCACCACATCTCCATATATGGACATGTCTACATTGTAAGATCTGCTTCTACCTGATAGGTCGAACTGATAAATCCCCTGCGTCAACTTGACCAAGTCTTCGTTGATGACTCCTCTGATGGCGTTGAAGGTGCTTTCTATTGGTCCGCCGGAGGACGGCTCAGCTGACTACGACGGGGGTGGTTTGAAGGCTGGTGTCGCCCCTGGCAACAGGATAACAAAAACAGGAAGTTTCCACCAAAACGATACACCTATTAAATGAGAAACTGCCGTACGGTGTCCACAGTATCTGCATCCATCAAGTGTAACACGAGTCCTAGTGTGATAACAGCATTTGTGTATTTACCATGTTGCTCCATCTGCTCCACCAGGCTCTCTGGTGCTTCGTCCAGGAAGAAGTCCGGCAGCAGCGGGTGACCTGTTGACCAATCAGAGACCACCGTGAGCATCACATGACAGAGCTAGGTTGGCCTAACACAGCTGGCAGAGAGCGTACCTGGCTGGACGGCGTACTGTTCAAAATCTCTGACTCCCTGCTCCTTCAGGACGTCCTCGTCGACCAGGAAGTGACCCGTGTAGTGTTTGGGTCGGGACAGGACAGCGTAGGCGGCGTCCGCCATGATGTCAGAGGTACGACACTGTTTACTCAGACTCTACCTCGACTAAAGACTAACAAATTGTAGCACTTAAATTGTACTTGTGACGTCACTCATCTATAGCAAATTGTAAATTCGCTTATTTGAGGAAATTGCACTTTCTTGTTTCTTGTTCTCCTGAGTTTGTACCCTATGGTTGAATGCACTTATTCTACGTCGCTTTGGATAAAAGCGTCAGCTAAATGACATGTAATGTAATGTAATGTAATGTAATGTACTGATGCCCTCTCCGCCCAACATATCCATCGCGGCTGTCTGGATCGCTACGGCAACAAGGGGCAGGGTTAGCACCACAGGGAGTCTGTTAGCACGCTAGTTTACTGTGATAGGTCTGTTAGCACGCTAGCATACTGTGATAGGTCTGTTAGCACGCTAGTTTACTGTGAGAGGTCTGTTAGCACGCTAGCATACTGTGATAGGTCTGTTAGCACGCTAGCATACTGTGATAGGTCTGTTAGCACGCTAGTTTACTGTGAGAGGTCTGTTAGCACGCTGACATACTGTGATAGGTCTGTTAGCACGCTGACATACTGTGATAGGTCTGTTAGCACGCTAGTTTACTGTCAGAGGTCTGTTAGCACGCTAGCTTACGGTGAGAGGTCTGTTAGCACGCTAGCATACTGTGATAGGTCTGTTAGCACGCTAGTTTACTGTGAGAGGTCTGTTAGCACGCTAGCTTACGGTGAGAGGTCTGTTAGCACGCTAGCATACTGTGATAGGTCTGTTAGCACGCTAGTTTACTGTCAGAGGTCTGTTAGCACGCTAGCTTACGGTGAGAGGTCTGTTAGCACGCTGGCATACTGTCAGAGGTCTGTTAGCACGCTAGCATACTGTCAGAGGTCTGTTAGCACGCTGGCATACTGTCAGAGGTCTGTTAGCACGCTGGCATACTGTGATAGGTCAGTTAGCACGCTAGTTTACTGTGAGAGGTCTGTTAGCATGCTAGTTTACCGTAAGCATGCTAACATTTAGCCACTGACCAGTTTTAGGCCAGAGGGCGTTCACGGCGATTTGACCTCTGAACTCTTCTGCCATTCCCAGGACACACATGGACATGCCGTACTTCGCCATCGTGTACGCTGAAAAGAATAGAAAGGCGGGATGAACAGAAGTGAGCGGCTGGATGATGGATGGCGGCTGGTCGGTTGCCACGGTTACCCGTGTGGTTCTTGAACCAGACGGGGTTGAGGTTGAGCGGAGGCGACAGGTTCAGGATGTGAGGACTGCGACTCTTCAGCAGGTGAGGGATGACCAGCTTAGACCTTCAACATACAGACACGCGTTTGGTGAAGGTCGTTAGCCGGAGGTCATGGGTCATGTGGCCGTGTGTGTGTGTTCTCCTACGTCACGTATGTCCCTCTCAGGTTGACTCCCAGCATCAGGTCCACCTTCTTCAGGGGCGTCTCCAGGGTTCCCGTCAGACTGATGGCGCTGGCGTTGTTCACCAGGATGTCGATTCCTGCCAATCAGACACATTGATCGTGATGATGTCACGGGGGGGGGGCGCGCTTCATCACCAGGCTCCCACCCACCGGGACCACTACGTCCAAATGGGGACTTTGAAATAATGTTTTCTCACCTCTAAAGCCTTGAAGAAACCTTCGTTTCTATTTACAGCAGATTGAATTATAAAAAGTCAGTCATGTCTTTGCATTAACGGATGTTGTACAGTTTCATAACCCTTCGTCATTTCTTCGGAGTCGTTCTGATGAACGATGTCTCACCTCCGAACTTGTCGACGGCTTTCTGCACGGCGTCTCCCACCTGCTGCTCGTCGCGGATGTCGACGATACAAGCCAGCGCCTTACCGCCCGCCGCCTCCACTGCACAGACACACGCCGCTTTACTGTGAAGCCTGAACTACCCTTCAAAATAAAGCTCCTGCTCCTCTGGAGACAGAACGCCGACGCAGAGAAGAAGAAGAACTCAAACACGTCTTTAGAGCACAATGACAGTTATGACATCATCGAAAAGAAGAAGAAAGTTCAATTATCTAAAATCTGGCGTCCCCCCGTCTCACTGACGTGCACCAATGAGGTACCAAGCCGCAACAGCGTGCCCGTCTCTACAGCGGCTGACTTCCTGTTAGCGCCTCACCCTCCTGAGCGGCGGTGTAGATGGTCCCCGGGAGCTTGGGGTGGGCCTCGGCGGTCTTGGCGGCGATGACGATGTTGGCCCCGTCCCTGGCGGCCTTCAGGGCGATGGCTTTGCCGATCCCCCGGCTGGCCCCGGTGATGAAGAGCGTGCAGCCCGCCAACTTCCTGAGAGAGACGCAGGCAGTTAGCTCACATGCTAACACACAGCTAAGCTACATCACTGGCATGCCAGCGGCTCTTTGTTTCCTGACAAATAGATATTTGGCTCCCAGAGGTTTGAAGGTTATTCATAAAAACAAACTACTTCATTGAATAAAAGAAGCCAAAGTGGACAAACGGTCCACCTTGTTCTTTCCAGCCAATAGGACGGATTGAAAAGTGTGTCAGATTATAGATAAATGACAGCTTGTCCTAATAAAAAGGTTAAGAAATAATCACGTTTACAGAAGTAGGACTGTGGAAGTTTAAGTGAGTAAAAACACGTTGTGATGGTGTAGCAGAGACCTGTCAATCAGCGTCTAGCTCCACCCAGAGCGTCCTCTGCTGACGTCATGCTGTATTACATTGAGATCATAAACAATATTGTTTACTAAGTTAAGTATTTTAAGTTTTTATCTGAACTTTAGACCTAATGTGATGAGGGGTGTTGACATAATCAATAATGCCTCTGATCACTTTTGGAATGTCTATTTTTAAATGTGAAAAAGTAGAATTAAGACATTACAACTTTAGAGAAATCCATCATTTCTTTACAAGATGGGACATAAACAGCAAGATTAAACTGTATGTGGCTCATTAGATTAGATCAGATTTCATTATTGTTGTGTGTTGGAACAGGACACAGTAATAAAGGATCCCTAGTGGTTGTCGGTTTGAAGCCGTGTCCCTGCGTAAGGCCAGGCCGTGTCGCTCACCCCGTGTTCTGCAGCATCGTCGCTTCTGGTTTGGAGGAACGAAGGTGAAGCAAAGAATGACTCTGTTGTCTTCGCCACCTTTCACCCACTAACAGTACGCGCCTCAACCGGAAGTCATGCGTCAACTGCTCCTTCCACTTCCGGTTCACCGGCAGCTTCGTATATATAAATATATATATATAATATTATTTATATATAATATATATATATAATTATATATTTATATATACATATATAATTATATACATATTATATATATATATAAATATATACATATACGACATCCAGGTGTTCTTAAGTAGACCACGGTGTCCATCACAGATCTACTGATGCACAAACTCATCATGGAACCTTCTGAGGAGGTGAAGCATCTAATAAGCTGTAATCAGACAGTCGCGGACCGGCTGAATGCGGAAGGATGATTATTGATCCGTCCGCATCCCTCCGATCGGAGGCGTGTCCGCGCGAGCAGCCATGTTCTCCCATGACGTCGCCAAATCGGACGTGAGGTCATCGCTCTCTGCAGCGGCTGCGGAAGGCTCGCGGACCCAAACAACTCCTCTTCCTCCTCCTCCTCCTCCTCCTCCTCTTCGCGGACCATGGACGGGTGAGCTACCGCACGTTTCCGTGGCGACTGAACCGCACCTGCGCGCGCCTTCCGTCTGCCCCGCCCCCTGTTTGTCGTCGTTGTTGTTGTTGTTTACTTGACTGAAACTCATTCCCGTCTCTCCACGCGCTGCTTAGTCGGGTGTGTTTTCGGGTTTGTTTTGGTGTCGCGAGCAAAGGGGGGCGATTCCCCCGCGAGACCTTAGTGGTTGAAATCCCGCGATAACTGAGTGTAGGAATTAAGATTTAAATGTTTATCCTAAGGTCACGTGTTTGTTTAATCTGACTAAACAATGTTTAAAGGTTATTACGTCAAAGTGATTAAATGCCTAATTCATAATTCAATGGTTTGTTAATTGCGACCCTAAAAAATATTTTGGAAGTTTAACAAACATTTATCAATAATGTTTCCATTTTTTAAAAGAATTTAATTTGATTTCATATTTATTTTATTCTACATAATGTCATGTATATTTGCCTCTAATTCTGTTATCTTGTTGACCCTGTTGACAATGAGTAACTCTGTGTTTACTTGATCTTGGTCCGTTTCAAGAAGCAGGTCTAGTGTAAACTCAGAGTTAGTTAAGCCTGAGATGAGGGAAACTCTGGCTTGTTTCACAAAGGGAAACCGTCCTTCACTTCCATTAATATTTGCAGCTCAATAGGAGTGAATATATTGTTTGTGGTGGTTGTCATGGTAACTCGTGGTATCGTGGATCCTTTCATGCTGTGGTGCTGCACGCGCTCAACTGAGTCAACCGACTAAGTTGATTGAACCGAGTCTAAACAGCTGTTCAGAAACCAGAAACTCAGAGTTTGTTAAACCTCCTACGAGGAAACGGACCCCAGGGCCCGTTTCCTCGTACGTGGTAAACTGAGTTAGCCGGATCATCTTCAGGATGAGATGTTCAGGCTCTTCGGTTCCCCAAAGCAGGTTTGTCTAAATCACCACAGCAACACATGGAAACACTTGAACCTGCTGCGGTTCATCTGAGCTGCTGGAAAGACCCGTTAAGCCGCCATGACGTCCTGCTCGAGCGCTACAGATGCTGCAGATGCTACAGATGCTGCAGATGCTACAGATGCTGCAGATGCTGCTGATGCTGCAGATGCTGCAGATGCTGCTGATGCTACAGATGCTACAGATGCTGCTGATGCTACAGATGGGGAGGACAAGGAGTTTATTTTTATTTATTTATGATTTATTTACAAGAAGATTTCCCCGTTCCGTTACGTGATGAACACCACACGCTGCAGCCCAAATGTTGTGTGAATTTAATGTATTATACATATTTCACGTTGTTCATTCTGTACGTCCATCGCAGTCTGTCCGTCCCTGGAGGATCGTCCTCTGTCTCTAAAGGTTTCTTCCCTTTATTCTCCCCATCAAATACTTTTCATTGTTTGGGGTTTTTCCTGTGTTGAGTGTTTCTGCACAGAGGACGTCACATGTGTACAGACTGTAAAGACACATGAGGCTAATGAATCATATGATCATGTTAAACGCTTTTATCCAAAGCCACTTTAAACCCGTGGCTTTTTTTTAACATTTGGCTCAGGGAGCAATCAGGGGTCAGGTGTCTCGCTCAGGGACACTTCGACTTGAGACATGAAGCAGCCGGGACTCGAACCACCAACCTTGCGCTTCCCACACCCTCTCTACCCCCTGCATCACTGTACGGACAGTATGAGAGACAGTATGTAAGACAGTATGTGGGACAGTATGAGAGACAGTATGTGAGACAGTATGAGAGACAGTATGTGAGACAGTATGAGAGACAGTATGTGAGACAGTATGAGAGACAGTATGTGAGACAGCGTGAGAGACGCGGCGTGAGAGACGCAGTGTGAGACGGCGTGGTCTTCATCACGTAACGCTTCGGCTCCTGAAGTTCTTCTTGTAAATAAATGGTTCCTGTCTTCAGCATCGTACAGGACGTGATGAACTTGTGCAGCACTTTTCTAGTCTTTGTAGTGTTAAAGTGCTTTAACCCCACATGACATCATTTCTCCATTTACCCACCAACACCCACTGATGACAGAGAACCCACACACACACACACACACACGCACACACACGCACGCACTACACAAGCACACGCACACACGCACACGCACACACACACACGCACACACGCACACAAACACACACACACGCACACTAGCATTCACAGAGCTACAGGAGCCGTGTGGCTCAAGTGTCTCGCTGCCTTTTATCCAGGGAGTGATGAACTAATCCAGCAGCTCAGATGAGCCTGAGTTGAGGTTCTGGACGTGTTGCCGTGGTGATTGAGACACACCGGCGTCCCTGATGAAGGTGCTGACGCTCTTCCTGCGTTGCTCTCTGTAGGAATCAGGCTTCACTTCCTCCTCCAGCTGTGCTGAGAACATGAGCTCCTCCGGTCCCTGCACAGGTGAGCCCCCCCCATCACCGGCCCACCCGCTGATAATCGTCCCGCTCACCTGTCTGTCCGCAGTGGACGCCACCGATAGGCTGTGTGTTCCTGAGCGCGCTCAGTCCGTCCCGTCTCCGGTCCTACGCCCGCGTCAGCTTCCTGTTGACGTCTCTGAACAGGAAGTGAAGTTATTAACCCGATAACGGCCTAAAAACAGGTAACGGCTGATATCCGATAGTTATTAATAATAATATATTATATTGGAATAGCGTTAGTTGGTTAACATTTAACCGTTAACAGCTAAGAGCTAAAAGTGGCTAATAGCCAACTATTGAAATATGTTACTGCGTAAATTTCAAAACTATTCTGTAATAGATTTTTTCATTCTGTCGAATGTCAATTTCATTTTAGGAATAATGATTGAAATGAAACATTTTTAATGTTTAATTTCATGTATTTTATTTCTCATTTTGCTAGAAATAAAGAGGTTTTACTTAGTGTAACTTATCAATGTTTTTATCTCAATTTGTTCATTCTGATTCTCCAATTTGTTAAATGATCTTTCTCACGTTTTTAGAAATGGCGTCCGAGGAGGCGGCTGTTACCATGGTGAACTACTACACTTCGGCCCCGCCCACTATCAGGAACCAACCAATGTTCATCCAGTACTCCACCCATCGTCAGCTCAAAACCGACAATCTGACCAATCACGTGAGGAGCTGCAGCTCTAGTCCCGCCCAATCCACACATCACGTACATATATATATATATATATATATATGTATATATATATATATATATATACATATACATATATATATATACATATACATATAGAATATATATACATACATACATATATATGTATGTATGTATATATGTATATATGTATATACATATACATATATAATATATATACATACATATATATATATACATATATACATACATATATATATATGTATATATATATATATATATATACATATACATATATATATATACATATAGAATATATATACATACATATATATGTATGTATGTATATATGTATATACATATACATATATAATATATATACATACATATATATATATACATATATACATACATATATATATATATGTATATATATATATATATATATACATATACATATATATATATATACATATACATATAGAATATATATACATACATACATATATATGTATGTATGTATATATGTATATACATATACATATATAATATATATAC